TATATGGTTGCAATAAAAAATTATATCAAATAAAATGAATTGAATCGAATGGAAATAGAAAATGATGTTGCTGGATCGAAAGCTTAAAGGGATTGATGCGCGTCTATGCCGTATGGCAAGGAGCAACAACACAAGTAATAAGCAAACGAGTGATTGAAACGAAACACGGAAAACACAATTAAGAATGATTTCATTAATTTTTTTTCTCCTCAAATCCTCACAACGAACAATTGGCCGGCAAATATTATGACAGGTAGATTTAAAATTTATAGAGCCAATACACACGGGCACATAAACGGCGCGAAGGTTGCCAAATGCTTGTTCGCTCTAATTATTACAGATACACATGGCATTGTTGATGCAAATTTCACTTCAATATATATTTTATTCATTTTATTGTTTTGGGGTTTAGTTGTTGTTTTGTTTTTCTTCGTTGGCATTGTGGCGATTGTGGCCCGGCTCTCAAGGAATCGTGTGATTGTGTGGAACAAGTATTCATTTTACGATCCTAACGTTCAGGTCCCTAACTGCCATTTGCCGTAAAACTGCATGGCGTCGCATGTTAAGGCGAACAAGAGAGAAAGAGGATAGAGGGTGAGAGAGATAGATAGAGACAGAGAGAGAGAGAGAGAGAAAGCCGAGAAGAGAAGAGAAACAAATGCACTCGTACACATCGACACAAACAAGCAACCACTCCGCTTCACTCGCGAAAGGTGTACCTTATGCAATACAACTCAGCTCAGCTCAGCCAGTCCGCGTGTATTGCAATAGATAGACAGTTTATACAATTTATATACAAGTTATGCGCATTAAAACGGCCAAAGAATCGCGTACACTTCTTCATATCTTGTGAATGCTACTTTCTTGACTAAAATGCACGTTGTTCCTTGTACCAATTACTGATATCCATGCACTTCCCATTTACACACACACACGCACACATTGTTTGATGCACATCCAAAGATCACAACAAACACAAGCGTCCAATAACATTTTCGTGAACAGCACATCAGATGCGTTACGTTTTGCTTTGCACCGTTTTTGGGTTGGTAAAAATATAAAATAAATTTTACGATCTAAATTATATTATAAATGGATGCACACACTCTCTCGTCATTCTTTTCTCCATTCATTTTACGAATATATGGTGCTGTGGCTCCTACACACCATACACATACACACAACATACGTAGTACAAGCACATTAGAGACATCAACAAAAAATAATTCTCTATAAATTGCAGAGCGATGAAATAAAAACTGCGAAAAGAAATTAATGAAAACAAGAAATACACACACAACCCAACTCAATTCAACTGAACTGAACGAAGAAGCGAAGAGAAAACGAGCGAGAGAAAAGAAAAAAAAATTGTGCGAAACAAATGAAATAAAAATAAAGTCGAAGTATACCGATGCGACTTTATTATCGTTTAAGTATAGAATTTTAATTTTCGAGCATGGAAAAGTAAAAAAAAAGCCAGCGCCTGAGTCATTGAGACTGGGGCGCTCATTGTATTGGGTGAGAGAGTACGTAAAATGATGGTGAGATTGATGCATGATTGTTCGAATTGGTTGCAAATTATATTTTAACAAGGCAGCACAAACATACACAATCTTCGTATATATATATATACCAAGAACAGCGATATAAAATAAAACAATTAAAAAAAGTGCAGCGGTAGAAAAGAAAATAAAAAAAGGGGAAAGAAGAGGAGGAGAAAAGCGAGACGAATTTATGTTTACAAAGGAACAACAAAGGCACAAATTGCACATTGCTCAGTCGCCGTTATTGCTGGTCAGTACTGATTATGAGTGAGTATGTGTGTGTGTTTTTGTTGTTTTTTTTCTCACTTGACTTTTATTCATGTATTGTCGGTGTTACTTTTAGTTTGTAATGAGTTCGAAAACCTAGTTGCAGAATATCTGCACAAATTATTGTAAAAGTTAGAGCTGTGTTTCGGCTGGATCGAGTGTGTTGAAAAATTTGGAACGCGTGTTCAAAAGTTTTATCTGTGAAACGATACAAGTAAATACACAAACCCGCTCACATTTATGTCGCGCTAATGCTCAACGTTCTCAATCGGCACTGTACGAAAAATAGAGTAGCAAAAAAAGCCCATTTGCATTTCATCGTTTCACTTCCCATTTAATTGCCATGTGTTGCTGTTGATTCCGAGTCGGGCAAATCGACGGTAACCTCAATCGGAATAATAAATAATTAGCGAGAACGAATAGACATTTTATGAATTTACATTTATATATATATGTACCGTATCTATACAATATTTTTCTTCTAAGCATGTCAATTCAATTGTAAAACGAATATATATATATATATGAATGTCCGAGAATGAAAACGCAACTTCTATTCACA